AGCTGCACTCAAGCAGGAAAGTCTCACTAATCCGTCTTATTTGGTAACAAAGTCTAATTTTAAACACTTTATGAGCCTTTTTTTGTTAAACAAATGAAGTGTGTGACCATTCGTACAGATGGATGCAGATGTTTGTTTCCCATCCAAATTGAGTAATCGATCAGAGTCAGCTGATCAAACGTGTTATTCCAGATTCAGGTGTACAGACAAAAATCCAGGTGTTAAACCATCAGTTCAGTGTTCAGACCCTCAGACAGACGTCAGGAGGAAGATGGACTCTGATAAAGAACCTGAAGCTGTGTGAAAGGAGGACGGACCGAAGCAGGAATTTTCTTATTCCTTAAATAAAAATAATTTTTATTTTGACTTCTGCTCGTTTTTCTTTGAAAGGACGTTGACTTTTGTTCCTGGTGGTGTAGAGAAAAAGCTGCAGGACAGAATTATGACCAGCAGAGGGCAGCGTTCACCACAACACAGCCCTGCAGAGCTGCATCAGAGGTGGAGGAGGAGGAAGGCTGAAGCGCAGACCAATCAAAGCCCTCACAAACTAAACACTCGAGTGAAACTGGGGCTGCAATCAAACCAAAGAGTGACGAGCTCTCGACCCCCACACCTCCACCTCCGTCTCCACCTGCACCTCAACAACAGGCTAAGTTCATGCTGGCATCTCATCAAGTCAGAGAACTAAATCAGCTTCATTATAAATGACATGATCATCGGTCTCTGTGCAGGGGAGCTCCAGGTGTGAGCTCCAGGTGTGAGCTCCAGGTGTGAGCTCCAGGTGTGAGCTCCAGGTGTGAGCTCCAGGTGTGAGCTCCAGGTGTGAGCTAGGAACCATTTAAAACCGACACCAGTAAAAACTTGGCAGCTGTGGACGAATCAGGTTTGAGGTTCAGTGAGAGCGCAGACATCACGTCTGTTTTTATTATTTTATGATCACACATTAAAGCCTTGCTGACTCCTCCTCCTCTCTCAGGTGGAGGTGATCTCCTGGTGTCAGAGGATTCTGGAGGACCAGATTGTTGCTGCTGAGGCGGCCTCCGGAGCAGGAGGATTATTTTGCCCTCAACATGGACTTGTAAGGTGATCCTGCAGCCGACTGACTGAAGTTTAGAACATGTCGCAGTTTCCCATGATGCACCTCTGTGCTGCAGGAAGCAAAGCTCCTGGTCTGGTGATGGTTCAGGTTCCAGACACTCTTCTT